ATGCATTTTCCGAAACATTTCTCGCTCGTGATAGTCTATAGTTAAAAATTCTTTTACTATAAGAAAGATCTCTTTGAGGATACGGTTTTAAAAAGTTTTCATGTAAAGAAAATGCTTCATCGCCCAAAAATACAAAATTGAAATTATTTTCTGTGTCTGTGTTATTTGGCAGATGTAACTGGCCTAAAACCACAAAATTATATTATTCATAATTACATATATACAAGTATAACAACTTACCATGAATTAACTTATGATAAAATTTGGTGCTTTCAATTACTCCTCCATCAGATAATCTTCCATTTTTGCCTACATCGACAAAAATAAATTCGTAGTCAGCATTGACGAGAGCCATTAAAATGATACTATAAAAATTTTTATAGTTATAGTATTGTGCTCCTGAATGAGGAGGAGGTACAATACGAATATGCTTGCCATCCAGAGCTCCTCCACAGTTTATAAATTGCCATTTTTGTTCAAATCCATTTGCTACTTCCAGCCAATCCTGCTGCGTAGATGGAAACTAAAATAATATTTTTTTTAGAAATCTGCAAGTGTTTCATCACAAGTGCCTTCAACATCTCATGCACGTCCAACAAGTCCAACTGCCTTCAAGCCTGCCTCAAATAAAAGAAGTAAGTCTTCCAAACAAAATAAGACCCAAACAGACTTCATGAATTACTGCAAGAATCAGCTTGAAAGCAAAAATGAAATTGATGAATTTGATGCAGCCGCAATTTCGTGGGCGAAAAAAATTAAAAAGATGAATCCAACTCAGGCTATTTATGCAGATATGCTTATCAATCAAGTTGTAAATAAAGGATTATTAAACCAATTAACCGAGACAACGATAATTATGCAACAATCACCAGTTCCACTTCCACTTTTCTCACCGCCTAGCCCATATAGTGTTGCTTCATCAAATTCTTCATTACATCGTCCAGAAAGAACATCTCAATTACATGCTTTAGATTCAGCAAGTATAACAGCTTACTATGAGCAAGCTAGTCAGGATTTTAGTAATTAATTTTTTAGTTTATATTCAAGTTTTGTTATCACAAGAAGTTTATTTCAATAAAACAAGAAATCTTACCTTTAAATATGTTTTCCTTAATACTTCATATATAGCTTTACATGTCTCAGGTATAATTTTACATAAAGATGGTGCAGATATTCCACTTGAAAATTTCAAATCTTCAAGCGAACGACCTGTAGCTAAGTATCTCAAAGTAGTTGTTAGTCTTTCTTCGGCACTTATGCTCTCCCGCAATCTTGTGTCTTGTTTAGAAATCATTGGAGAAACCAAATCCAACAAAATTCTAAATGATTCAGAATCCATTCTCAAATAGTTTCTAAAATCCATGGGATAATTATCAGGCAACTCATGAAGCAGAGGCAAATGTCCATATCTGTTGCGATTTTCCAACCATGTTTTCACCCAACACTTTCTTTGTCTCTTATTTGGAATATTTAGATACACAGCCAAGCACAAAGCTGCTCTTATTTTCCGTTTCTTAATTATTTTATCCATTATGAAGATAAAAACCGCCTTGAAAACTGTTGAAAATTTCAAGACTCCACATGCCACGAATATCACTCGCGAAAGATGACAGTTTTTGATTTACATTTGCACTTTTATCCTATACCGTTCCACGACACACACTCAAACCGTGCGATAAGCAGTTGTAATTTTTAAGACAGTTCGTATTAGGACGTGCCACGCTTGGACGCGCGAGAATTCGCGTGATTGGAACGGGGCGTTCCAATCCCGCAGGAAAGAGTGTAAATGTAAAGGTACCTATTGTTTATGAAAAACGACCAGCCTGTTCAGATGAGGCGTTTTGACTCGCGCGTAGACACTCGCGCGTTCTGGAGATACTATAGACACAATCATCCCGTCCAAATGCTGCGTCGCGTTTTACAACTCGCGCGAGTCGAGATATTGATCGACCAGCCAAAGATTGCTAGGGACGAAAGGGGGAAATGCGATGAAAAAACCTTACCATTAGACGATTTTATATGGAGTCATAGGCGGAGATCGGAGAGACTTGAATTATTAATTGAATTTATATTTTATTACAACTGGTAGTATTAATATTTTTTTGCGATTCATAATGACGTGATACCAAACATACATTATAAGAAATAAATATACACAAACACTGAATATTGAGAACAAAATAAATATATTTTTTAGGCAACAAGTAATATTCCTATGTACGCATTATGATTGAACAGCAAAACAAATTATGCATTCTTCTAAAATAGAATACAACAAGTCAAAAATATCTGACTGAATAGAAAAATATAGGAAAACAAAAAGTAATTTCTTGATGAAATAACCCATAAACAACACATAGAATTAGACTTTCTACTGAGATACTAAAAGCCACAAACCAATAGTATAATAAATGAATATCTAAAAATTCTAAAAGGTAGCCAATCTAGTATAGTTTCAATCCTGATTAGAGTCATGATCACTGTCTGAGGAACTGTCATTGCTATCACTTTCACCTCCTATGTTGATTATTATTTCTTCCTGTATTTCTTGAATGAGACTGTCTTTTTCCCAATATTCATCTTCAATTTTTATAACATGTCCAATAACCTTTTGCCAGTCACTGGCACTTACTGAAGCGATGGCCTTATTAGAAATTTCATCTAGTTTTTTTATAGTAAATTCGCCGCTTGTATTATGGCTTCTAATGAAAAATTTTACTTGTGCCCAAATCATCTCTATGGGATTAAACTGACACATATAGGGTGGCGTTCGAAGTGGGGTGTGTCCGAAACTTCTTATTAAATTATCTATCTTATAATTTTTCTCATCAGATGGTGGCCTATGTAGACAAGCTATTTCATAAAGCTCCATTTTTTTAGCATTAGGATCATGCTCTATACCTTTTTTGCTCAACCACGTGATGATGTCTCTTTTTAGAGAAGATCTAGTTGGAGGCTTGTCTTCCAAAGCTGAATGGTAAGGTGCATTATCCATTATTATAATACTATTAGGAGGAATGTTAGGAAATAGTTTTTCAGTAAGCCACTTCGTGAAATTTTCTTGGTTCATTTGACCGTGATAATCACCAGTGGCACAGCCAGCCTTGAAAATGAGACAGGCTCCAGGAACAAAACCATCTTGCGAACCCGCATGAACAATTATAAGTCGTCCTGGAAATGAATAAATAGCCTCATTTTAGTGTTATTTTAAGTTTGCCAACACCTTTTTGAATCACTATGTATAAAAAACATATTTTTGAGAAAAAAATACTTGCAAGGGATTATGTATTCAATTAGACAAATTAAATGAGCACTTATTAAGAATATTCCAAAATTGAGAAAAATGTATAATAAGCAAAATCGAGGTGAAAGAAACTTTATTACCTGTAGAACTTATATTGCTCAGGACACCCATAATTTCTTCGCTTTGCCAGCATTTCTTGAAAGTGAGGTCATTATCAACCCAAGTTTCGTCCAAATAAATAATATGCCTTCCTTCTTCCCGGAACTTTTTAATAGACCTAAGATACTTGTATCGCCAATGTAAAATACTGGGTCTTTCCATTAGTAATTTCCTTTTGTTGTGGCATTTACGCCAGTAAAATCCTTTTGCTTTTAAAAGCAGCCTCAACGATTCTTTACCAAATGGAAATTCCATTTCTTCCTTCAGTTTGATTAGAAGTTTACTACAAGTAGGTACCACTTTAAAATCACAGTAAAATTTTTCTATCATTCTCCGAATAATGGAAAAATCGACTCCATCAATTTTTTGGATCACAGAAGGGCGTGATCTCTTTTTTCCGGGAGAAGCTAAAGGCTGTGTGGAGGTTGCATTTTGCCTGTCTTTATCTTCTTTTCTAATTTTACTTATAGTTCGTTCACTAACACCCGTATAATATGCCGCCCTTGCATTTCTAGCTACCAGTGGATAAACGAAAGTATTGTTAGCCGCTTCTGCATCGCAAGCACGTATCACGTTTGCTATTATTTCCCTTGCCTGGCTGTGAATAACTTTCCCATGCTTGAATTCCATTATCACCACTAAACAGTAAATTATATTTTCAAAGTATTTGCCAACTGCCTACGCCTATGGGAGTAGGTTTATAAATGACCGTGCCATCGGCACGTTATTCTAGTTTCAGATAAGATAAGAGTTTTGGACCAATCAGCGACCGGATGTTTACCTGCGGCCTGGGTTTTCCAGCTACATTGCCAAATTCAGCGGAACAATTCTATATCTTAAATATGTTAATATGTATGGACCGCATTTTATGTAGAACATCTGACAACTTCGCAATTTTTTGTCCGCATTCTTTCGGCTTGCAATCTTTCGCTGGTCCAACTTTACATTGGGTGGAATTGCGGCGTCCAGTACTTCCCGCGCTTTGGTGGCGATAGGACGTATTTAGTAGAAAATGGAGCGTCATAGCTTTGATACCGAACTCTTCATTGATGAAGTGGAGAAAAGAGCAGCCATATGGGATATGGAGTCAGCCGAATATGCAAATAGAGTCATAAAACGTAGGAACTGGGAAGAAATAGTTGAAATTTTTTCTGAAGCCGGTGATTCCGAAGAAAAGAAAAAACTTTAGGTGAATAGTTTATTTAATATTATTTCTCATATTACACAGGTATACATAGGTACCTCATATTTATGACTATTTAACTATAACATCTTATCTTGCCAAGGGAGTTTGTACTCTTGAACATGTGGTGACATGGAATTTAATTAGTTCGATGTGTCAAGTGTTACGGGACGTTTGTTGACTGATTGCGAGGTGAGGCTTTTACTCATTACGCGAGTGATCCTGTACCATTTTTTGATCTGGAGAGAGCATTTTGCTCATAGCGCGAGTGTCACTATTATGAATGTTCCTGTATGTTTGATAAGCCGATAATTTTTATAAGATTCAACAGGACAATTTTAACGATATATTGTTGTTTCAAAAAAAATTGCCGATCTAGGCCGAGAAATATACGATAGAGCTTGTATGCAGGAAATGTTGGAGAGTGTTAGTTGGACTGTCACCACAGAGCCAGTGGAAGAAACTATTTTGGACAATAATCAGTTGGATATTGAGAGTGACGATTCAAGCGAGTTCAGTGAACACAATACCAACTCACAGCTGTCTGAAGAAGAAAGTTTTAGCGATGATAAATACAAAAAAGTCAATTTTACTGGTCAACATTGCTTCGTGGGTAAAGATAAAGTCTCCCAATGGCTGGCTCATGCATCCTCACGACCGAAAACAAGAATTTTACGTAAAAATATTGTCATTCATCCCCCAGGCGTAAAGAGAGTGGCACAAAATGCAAAGACTGAAAGGGATTGTTGGGAGTTGTTTATGACACCAGCGATGATAGAATATATTGCCGGATGTACAAACATCTACCTGAATAATCTGCGCAAAAACTATGACCGTGAACGAGATTGTCGACCAACAGATGCCACAGAGCTATATGCCTTTTTTGGACTTATATAATGGCCGGGGTGAAGAAAAACCAATATTTATCCACAAAAGAGTTATGGGATACCGATGGATCAGCTGCTGATTGCTTCCGCCTCACAATGTCAAGAGAAAGATTCCACCTTCTAGTGAGAGCCATCAGATTTGATGACATAAACAATCGAGAAGAAAGAAAGTCCGTTGACAACATCACCCACATTCGGCAGCTTTTTGAGGAGTTAGTTGGAAAATGCCAAGAAAATTACCAAATTGGGGAATATTGCACGGTAGACGAAATGCTGGAAAATTTCAGAGGAAGATGCAAATTCAAGCAATATATTGCCAGCAAGTCAGCGAAATATGGAGCGAAAATATACGCACTGGTTGATGCAAGAATGTTCTACCTTTACAATATGGAGATCTATCCAGGAAAACAACCAAATGGACCATACACGCTAGATAATTCTGCATTTGCTGTAGTCAAGCGTATTGCATCTCCGATTCTAAACACTGGTAGGAATATCACAATAGATAATTTTTTTACATCAATACCTTTGGCTGAATATATGCTTGATAAAAGAACTATTATAGTGGGAACACTTAGAAAGAGCAAAAGAGAGATTCCACCAGTATTCTTAGAAACGAAGGAGAGACCAGCTCCTAGTACCATGTTTGCATACCGCAAAGATACTGTCTTGGTCTCCTACAAACCAAAATCCAACAAAAATGTTATTTTATTGTCTATACGTTCCATTCAGATGGACAACTTGATCCTGAATCTGGCGTTTTGCAGAAGCCGGAAATAGTGACTTTCTATAACTGTACGAAGGGTGGAGTTGACGTAGTTGATGAGCTGAAGTCCAATTACTCAGTGTCCAGGTTCTGTTGCCAATGGCCATTACGAGTATTTTTTACAATACTGGATGTAGCAGGTATTAATTCCCATATTATCTACAAAAGTAATACATCCAAAATCCTGGCTCGCCGAATTTATTTGAAGAACTTAGCGCTGCAACTGACCAAATCACAGATGATTACTCGTTCATCGAATCGAACTTTACCACTGGATATTCGAACCCGAATCAGATAAATTTTGGGTATACCAGAAACAGACATCAATGCAAGCGTATCAGCACCAGGATTTTGTGGAATATACCCAAGAAAAAAAATAGAAGGACAAAAAAGCAATGTAGCAAGTGCAATATCCCCATATGCAATGACCATGTCACATTTATTTGTTCTACATGCTCCAATTCGATAAACAACTTGCATTAGGCAAGTGAATAGTTCCTTTATTTTACTAAGTACACGGTTCCTGTTTTAGTTCTAATTATATTATGACACAATATTATTTATATAAGATAAATTTTGAGTTGTCATTAAATAAATATAACAGTTTATGTGCATTACTGGGAGAATTCACATATAAAAATGCCTTTAATATATCTTAACCAAATTGTAAACTGTACGTGAGCAAAATGCTCACGCGCGAGTGATGGTGTAACTTTTACATGCGCGAGTGATGCAGGGAGTCATGTCTGGGAAAGTGATTTTCAGGCTGTTTCCTGAAAACACTACAAAATGCTACCATAGGATTGCTGCTACAACCCAAAAATGAAAACATACAAGGTCTAAGTGATCGAATTAACTCCCTATAAGTGTTGTGTACAATAAATAGTCCAGAAGATATTTCCACTAATCCGATTTTGGACTTTGGATGTGCAGCCAATGAAGTCTCCAACTGCGATTTTTTCTGGGAGTTGTGCAATAGTATGTATTTTTAACAACTATGCTGTTTTGAGGACAAACTTCATAAAAGTCTGAATAAAACATCCTTATTTCAACTTTCGACTGTCAGTTCTGTGAGCTCCTCAACCTTCAAGCTGTTTCAAAGCTTGTCAAAAAATTGCAATCCGTTTCTTCTAGTACCTATTGTTGAAGCACCCCTGCAATTTTTATTCGCCTATGATAAAGGCATCACATCAAATCTTGCACTTCAGTTAGTTGTAGAGGAGAAGGTCCGAATATGGGCTTTGAACATAGTACACTAGTGGCATCTATGAACACTTGCTTATACTACTCCAGCCGGACGGCTTATTAAAGGTTGATTCTCACTATACATTCCGTTTCCATTCCATATCAGTTTCGTAAACGTTCCGTACAATGTGATTGTATACACAGTATACCTTACGGATAATGTGCATACACACGCAATAGCCTGCTTTAAGCGAAGGCGAATATTTAATTTCAATAATTTACGGAACGGTTACGGAATGGAAACGGAATGTATAGTGAGAATCAACCTTAATTCTTCAATCGTATTGAGTTCGTTTTCCGTCTCTGTCAGAACAGGTGGCTTGACATTTGCACGCGCCAATTCGACTATTTTTGTTAAGGTAGGTTATGTTTACCTACTTTTTTTCGATTTTGACTATATATTTTACTGTCACCCCACCTAATCCTTCTACTATTGGTCAATTATAATCAAATTCAAGCGGATAACCAAATGGAAATGGTATTTACCATTTTGGGTTGGTATTTACCAATCCGTTCAAGCGAGTGTAGTTATCAGTTTGGTTATAAGATCCGTGACGTCACGAATCAGCTGTTATATGTCATAGTTATCACCGCAAAATTGTGGTATTTACCCAACTCAAGAGTAGTTTTATATTTCTGGTTATTATTTGAAATGTGACAAGTTAGAATTTTGCCGGGTGTTGGATATTGTTATTGTACTTCAGCTTAATTTTTGAGAAAAATGATACAGGCTGACTTCAGTTTTACCATAAAGTGGAGCACCTTATTAGTTATACTCATTACGGTTGTTGGGGACACTTTAAACGTAGTTCCTATGCTTAACAAAGTATCCTGTGTGGCCATATACCACAAGAATATTAAAATATGACCATATAAACTCACTAGATGATATCCACCTGTATACGATTTTGCTAATTTCTTTTTTCATCATTTCTGCTGAATCAATAAATGTTTTCTTTGACATGCGGAAAAATTTAGAGAATTGAAGGTTATCATAGCTACAAAGCCATGGTTCCATCATTAAAAAAAAATCTGAAAAAAACATGTCTCCCATGAATATTATGAAAGGTTTCTTATTTAAACTTTCCATATACAGTTGTAGACGAAAAAGCACCGATTATTAAGTGATATTAAAAATAATCAGAGATTATATACGCGCTTTTCTAAAATAAACAACTTGCAACAAAACCGCGGTTAAAACCAACGCGTTCAAGCGATTCGTGTAACTGACATCATCAACCCTTGTGTCATCTTGAACCATATTATAACCACGGCACATAACACAGAAATTTTGGTTATTCGCTTGGATTTGATTTATATATCGCCTGACTGGCATTGTTTTATGCCCGTGTGCAAATAAACTATTTCGGTCCGTTAATTCAGCGTAGTCTCCTAGACGCCACATGTTCGTTTGTGTTAGAAACATCGTGTGATCTAATATGGCCGGTCCGTCGAAAAGAATTCGTTTTTGAGGATGATAAGTTTGAAGAAACTGTTCTACAGTGGTATAATGAAGTTGATAGTGATGCGAGTGATGTTGACAGTGCGCCAGAAGATGAAGTTATTGAATCTGAACACGACACGGCTTCTGACTTTTCTGAAGAAGACTGTAATGAAAGTGATAGTGATGAAGACAAAAATACTGCTGATTCTGAAGTTATGGAAGGAGAAAATAAATATTTTTACGGAAAAAACCGTTTCAGGTGGTGCACTAGTGAGGTAATTCCTTCGTCGCGCGTAAGAAAACACAACATAGTCATGAAGGTTCCAACTGTAAAAGGAAGAGCTCGCGACCTAGGTAACAGCGCAAATCCTATCCCGGTATGGAACCTATTTTTCTCCGACGATATTTTAGAACAGATAATTATATGGACAAATCACAAACTCTTCCAAATACGTTCAAACTACAAGGATACAAACAGTATCAGCCATGTAAGAGATTTAGATAAAATCGAATTGAAAGCTTTCCTAGGTTTGTTGATTTACACATCGGTATTCAAATCGAACCATGAAAATATAAAAACAATTTTTGCTACCGATGGATCGGGCAGAGAGATATTCCGGGCAGTAATGAGCCAAAATAGATTTGCAATTCTATTAGCTGCTCTGAGACTTGATAACCCTGAGACAAGAATTTATCGTAAGGAAGAAGACCCAACAGCAGCAATTTCTGTAGTTTTTACGAAGTTCATTGAAAAATGTCAAGACTGTTATGGTATGGGAGAATCAATGACAATTGATGAGATGCTCGTTAGTTTTAGGGGGAGAACTCATTTCAAAATGTACATGCCTGCCAAACCCTGTAAATATGGCATAAAGCTTATGTGTCTCACTGATGCTAGGACGAGTTATATTTGCAATGCTTATATTTACTGTGGGAAAGGATCTGATGGATTTGGACTAAGTGCAGAAGAACAGAAGTTTTCTAAACCGACCCAGGCTGTTATACGCCTCGCTAAACCTTTTTTTGGGAGCAATCGGAATATAACAGCTGATAATTGGTTTACCTCCATGGAGCTTGTAGATGTTTTGCTCAAAAATAAACTTACCTACGTCGGAACAGTTAGGAAAAATAAAAGAGAAATTCCCACGGAGTTCTTGCCGAACAAAAAGAGAAAATTAGGATCATCATTATACGGATTTCGAGAAGAGGTCACCATAGTTTCCCATGTGAGTAAGCCTGGAAAATCGGTAGTCTTAGTTTCTTCTATGCATGATAAGGAATTTACTGATCCGGAAACACAAAAGCCAGAAATCATTGCCTATTATAATCGGAACAAGGGAGGTGTAGATACAATTGACGAGAAGTGTTCTAAAAGTTCTTCAAGTCGACGCACCCGTAGATGGCCGCTTGCGATATTCTTCCGTATACTTGACATTTCTGTAATAAATTCGTATATTTTACATCAATGTTTCAAGGACAACGTAGCAGTTCGGAAAAAATCAGTGTTTGCAAAAGAACTAGCAGCTGACTTAGTTCGGGAAAACATGGAGAGGCGCCAGAAAAATCCTCGAGTACCTCGCGATATACGCAGCACTATTAGTAGAATTTTGGGAATACCGGAAGTAGATCAACTACAAGCAGAATAGTGCTTCAAAAACGCAAGGGATGTTACATATGTCCACGAGCAAAACACCGTATGACAAAATATTTATGTGTGCAGTGTAAACGTGCAATTTGCTTACAATGTTCGAAACCATTATGTGATATGTGTATAAACAAACGAAATATTTAGCTCTTGCTACAAGGCAACTTGGTTAGGTTTTAATTGATTTTTAAGTTGGATTATATAATATACTACTTTTTCAACAAAGTTGTCCAAAAATATTACAATATTTTCACTTTTTTTGTATAAGCCGAATTTAAATTTTCTTTAGAGTAAATATAATAAGTTTATTACTATTACTATAATTGCATTAATAATACCGAAAATGTATAAAGTATCGTTATTTTTAGTAGAAGTAACCTCATTTGTCACTACAAAATTCCAAAAATAAAGTTAAAAAAAAAACGAGCGTCATTTTGTTTATTTTTGATAAGTAGTCTGTCAGACAACACATGGCTGTTTATGCCAAAAATTCTCACAAGGTGGGTTAAGGGTTAAATTTAATATTTTGCCTTACCAATTAAATTTTTGGCCTTAACAAAAACTTGGGTAAGTTGACGAACTATCCGTGTGCCAATTTTAAAAACAAAATAGCAAGTTTTTCGAAAGTTATTTTGAAAAAACAAAAGGGGTGCCCATATTCGGACCTTCTCCTCAATAACTACAAAAATAGTCGAAGCGGTGAAAGTCACAAATGACATAGAACATCTTCTAATGTAGTCTCTGCCTTGAAGTAGATTTAATTCAGTTGATGTCCTGGTTGAGATTGGCCAAAGCTCCTCATCACTGTGGCACATCGTTCAACAGCCAATTGATTCTGCTTTTTTACGTCTGCATAAACGAGAAGGCAAAACCTGAACATCTAAGTACCGCCCGAATTATGAATTGATTGTTTTCCAAGCACGTTTCGTGATAAATCTTGAATCCGACCGAAATTCACAGCTTAAGACATACAACAAGCAAGCACATGCTCTTTGAGCCATTCATGTAGTTTAGAAGTAAGTGATCTGGTATATGGGTGACTGCATAATTTTAAAATAATTTTTATCCGGATATTTATGAAATTTGTCATCGAAACTGCACTACTTCCAGAAATAAAACAATTGTAGAAGTGATAGGTTATTTGTAATGACATAGGTGTTTAAGAATTGGATTTCTTCTATAATTATTTCACCGAAAAAATATCTCCTAAACCATTGTATTTATGACAACACATATGGGTTAATTTGGTAGGTATTAAGGTCGTCTATCACCTGGCTTCTGTTGATCCATCCATAACTTTACACCCTGTGTAATCAAGCTGATATGATTTAAATAAAGTAATAGACATAACACAGAAGGGTAACGCTTAATCAAATTCACAATGCTATTTAGAAAAAATCATATTTAACTTGTCCTACAATATTTATAACATTAATATTGTATCCTAAAAAAGGATCCATCTTAGTCATTCAGTTTTCATATTTTATCATGAAAAATAGTATTAATAAGATCAACTGTTACATGTCTAGCTAAAAATCTTTGGTTGGTATAGGAAATTGGTCCTAGTGATAGTTATCTGAAAATTCATTACTTTAAGGCATTTGAGGTGGAATTGCAAATTGATGGTCAACAAGAAATACCCATATACCTAATACAGAAAGCTGCACTAACATATCACCAAAACATTAAACATAAATACAACAAATATGACACTGAAACATGTAATTTATGGTGTTATAAATCAATCTTATCTTTCAAATGAAATAAGTTTCGTATTGCGGTATTTTGTATGCATAGAGAGTATATTTCAGAATGTCTGCTCTTCTTGAAGTGTAGTTAAAAAAATTGGTCTCAAACTATGTTTAAAATACCTTAACCTCATTCAAATTTCATTTAAATTCCTATTTAACATGATGAAAAAATGTTTTTGTCTGACATGGAAAAAGTTTTACCAATGCGCCTTGAAAATGAAATCATCCTGACATACCCGCAAAAATAATTATGTTAATAGTAGTAGTTTCTTAGCAATAACATCAGAATGCCTTGAAAATAACAACATATTACTTTGCTATTTCCAGTATACTTAACTGACATTTGTCATGGAAATACTTTTATCACCAATTTGCATACTTCAGTGCCAAACTATATCTTTTGTAGGTAAATAAATAAATTTTAAAGACATTCAGTCTACATTTATACTCCTATTAATATGTTAGAAAATGAATGTGCATTCTCAGTTACTGAAAGTATTACAAAAAAGACCTAATAGGAATAGGACATTGTTGACCAATTACATTTTGTAACGACTAGAAAAATCTACTTTAAGTAACAAAATAGTCAAACAGAGTGATGTAAATGCAAATATTCAACAAATCTTGGATGGACTGGAGACAAGATCCTACAACATTCTTGTTTGATGTATGACAACTTCCTATCATCCTCTTGAATGCTGAAAAATGGGTTCATGTTGAACCCATCTATCTCTTCTGCTAAATCCAAGAAGTGATCTTCATCAAAATTATCTGCAATGCTTGCTTCATTCCAAAGCTTGAATGCTTTGAGCATAACATGGTGCTTGTAACTAATGAGGTATTTCTCAAATATAGGCCTTGCATGAGGATCTCCGAGTACGTTTTCAATTCTGTCGTTGAAGCGATCTATCTCTGAGATGTTGAATTTAGTGGCAGCAGATCCTGCCATGTATTACCCTAAAATTTGTTGTACATCTGAAGTGACTTACTGCTTAATTTACATGTAACTATTAGCTTATATTTACTGAACTGCATTAATTAGAGTTGGGAACAGTTAAAACACTGATAAGGATGTATGTAGTCTATCCGTAAGAAAAAATAAAAGTATACCTACACGTGAAGCCTTTCAAAAAGACGAAGCGTCTCAAGTGACTCAGCATTACCATTGTTTCTTCATGAACTCAGAAATCTACATTTCCTCGTACACTTTGATAACACTCGGGAAATTAAAAACTCAAAACAATATAACATAACCCAACTTTTAAACACGAGCCAGACCGCCAGACGCTTGACAGAAGAGAGTGGCCGTCACTTGTTTAATGCGGTGTAGCCAAATTTTACAGACAAATCTTAATCACCCACAATCCGACGCCAATACCCGTATTATGGCAGTTTTCCACTAAACGGACAAAACAAAAACAAAGCACAAACTTGTATCGAATAAAACAAAACTCGAGTCTGTTTGTTTTATTTTCACCTTGCTAGTCTAAATACGCATTTTGTACCAAATTAGTAGATAAGTAAATCACGTTTTTTTTGTAAATAAAAAATTTGTTTTGGGTAGCAAGTAACTCCAGTGTTACTGCTAATCTTTAACAGAAATTGAATATATAAGGTTTGTAATTAACTTTGCAGCAATTGATGCAATTAGCTCATCCAATGTCATTTCAGATATCATTCATCAATAAATGTGCAGGACTCTAACAGCAGTTTACTCTTCTAGATAAATGTGATCGAACGCAATATATCTGTGTTGGCGTTTCCTTCTTCTCGTGAAAAATAATAATATTGTAATCATTAATAAATAAATATTTACGGTTAATGTGTTCACTTTGTAGTTTATAGACACATATAGTTACAGACACAGCTAGCGTATTATAGATAGCGTACATATATACACCTACTTTTCCCAAGGACTTCAGTATCGACCAGCCTCAACGAAGCATAAACAAAGCTCTTTATGCTTTGACTTCCTCGTGACAAGTTGAAACGGACGCAAAACAAACACAAAAATCGAACCAAATAATGTAGCTCGTTTTGTTTTTATTTTTCAGGTCCTAGAAAATGTAAACACAACATAAACTCAACTGTCCGTTTAGTGGACATTCGCCTTCACGAAACTTAAAAGGTGGTGTATTGATTTTTTATGACATAGGTTTTTTGGCATTGTGTAGGTTTTCCTCACGAAGACTATCTAGGAGGTTAAACTGAGTAAGGGATACAAATATTCATTTTAAGCCAATCCTGTCGCCAAAGGAATCGGAAATCTTTAATGGGCGTAGAACATATGGGGTAGAGCGTCTGCGCATTGAAAAATGTTAACATAATCTGTCGTAGTCTTTGTGTGCATTTCACTCTCGTTTTGCCAAGCTGTATAGGTTTATTACTTGGTGGCTTATTAATATTCCAATATTTCTACTTGCAACTTGTCCGAACTATCCACATGGGAGTTGTTTACAGTCATGATGACAGCAACAGGAAGAGATGTCACAGGCACAGAACCTGAAATTCATTTTCTGTGTAGCATACTCACGAGACAGATGACCTATGCCCAGCATCTGAAATTTATTTGCTGAGCGGAGCAACTCACTTCACGTTTTGGCTTCACCCTCACTCCATGAGATTAACCTCCTATCTCTAGTCTTCATGGTTTTCACATAAAATGTCTCTTTTGGATTAGCTGACATTCACTTTAAGGTCACTTGAAGTAGGCGCGGAGTGAACTAGTGGCACATTAGATTCTACCTAGTGCACAAATTGGCATTTTACCGATATTTTTAACATTATATAGGTTTCTTGCGCAATAACCCTGCTGGTAGCTGTGATTGAACATGCGATTGAACGTGTTTGGGCATTTACATTTTTTTACTCTGGCTGCACTACATAACTTCCGCGAATCAAACGTCGCGCCGATTCGCTTCGTACCTCTTCAGTGCGCGAAGTTTTATTTGGTTATATGTGAAACGAAATTATAGTGGCAGAATTTTGCTTCCGTTTTTTGGTTCCGCTTCGCCTCAGTGAGTGTACTCCTTTAAACTTAACACACCAAACTTCATATAATTTGCTACATGGACCGCACTGGCTTGTTAATCCAGCTCTGGATAGGATCTTAAGGCGCAGTGAAGCAGGGTATAGAACTATTATAGTTTTTGGTTCTCTTGTTTTGCTGCTTCGCTTTGATCTCCCTTATTTCGATTTTGCGCAGTAGCGAGAGCGAGACAGTCCTCCGTTAACCGTTATTCAAATACGAAAACACCATTAGTTACGGAAAATAGGGGAGGGCTTATTTCGTAAGGTTATATTTTCCTTATTCATCACCGTTGCTGGAATCTGTGAGGCTGGATAAGCTTAAATAAAATAATTCCAAGTAATAAAGACATCTTGCTGAAAATATAACAGACATATAAGCTCACGGAAATGCAAAAAATATGGCAGTGTTCTAAATGGATAAAATTATCCCGATTTTTGTTATATATGCAACGTGGTAGCCGTTTATTGTAGCTCTGCTGGTATGTCATCTGTGGTCCTATGATTCTAAGGCCCGTATCGTCAGTCGTCCCTGCAATTATTGTAGGGCGCGTTTATGGCCTCCTTGATTGTCATCCTCCTTTCTCTCCTTAAAAAATTTCTAGATTACACTTGTCCCGTGTCAGCGTCAGCGCTCTCCTATTGTGAAGATATGTTTTCTTTTTAAATTGTAGGAAATTTCAGGCTGATAAAACATGATATAACTCAAAAGTAAGCACAATTTGATGCAAATAGATGTTTGTGACATAACCTCAAAATAGAGTTCTGACACGGACAAGCAGAAAACTATGACAATCAAGAAGGCCATAAAGGCGCCCTACAATTGTAGGGACGTCTGACGATATGGGCCTAGACCTATCCATTTCTTGTCCTGTTTAGACACGAATGTTGCCGGAAATAAATAAATAAGCAGCCTGCCATGACTGTCAGTAGTCGGCATTGTCATATTACCACGGTTCACTTTAGTGATCATAAAAACTCTTTTTCGTCGACACTCGTTATTTGCTATCGATGTCAAAATAACGTAACGGAAGGCTTAACGATTCTTTATTTTTGATGCTCTAAAAACTCTCTATTATTCATTACAAAGCTCCCGCACACTCTACCCTTGAATCCATCTCCAAATGATAGGTATTAGATGTGAGTATGAAGTCATGTATTTTCATTACTATAGACTTTGAAATTGAGTCATTAATTTTCAGATAATGATTGTAGAAGGAAGATAAACCAAAATATGTGTGTAAAAATAAAAAAAAATTAAAAAAAAATGTTTACCTTGTTTTATAAAGTATCCTCCCGACAAGTATTTCAGTGCGGACCTTTATTTGATCGTGAGGTCTTGGAGCACCGGCATGCAGTCCCCTGTGTGGTCTTAAGTCACCTGATTCACGAGCCCGTTGTACTACATTAACAAAGGCACGAGGGGTTGGTTGCACTCGATTGGGAAACCGATCCGCATAAACATGTGCCATTTTTTATTTCGTTTGAGCCACGCAACAGACACCACTATTCAAACGCGTTACCGACTGACACTGACTGGATACAACTTACTAAAATAATTGTAAAAACATCGTTCCAAATTATTTCGCTTTTTTGTTTCCGATGCGATAAACCAAACACGAGCACATAATATTATTATTGAGACAGGGCGGTACTCAAACTTCCAAAGGGCTATAACTTTGTTACTTTAATTTTACCAGAAAAATGGTAAAGGAAAAAACATTTCTTTTGATCAGATCTACTCACTGTTAAAATAAATGACTCAACTTCGAAGTCACCGTGTAGAGTTCACGATCTTAAGGACAAACACGACAAATCGATTTTTAGAAGTACTTCATGAGAGAGGACCCACATAACTCTATAGCAAATACATATACGTATGTCCACATAGAAAGAACTAATAATAAGTTATTGTCATTTTTATACCTTCATAAAGGTACCTGCATAATTTTGTTTGCAGTTTGTCTATGAGATTTTAAGGATTTTAAGATAATACAATCTGGCAATGCTGCAATGAACTGGATATAGGATTATCTAATTCCAAAAAGACTTAGGCAACCAGTATCACTACATGTATCTAGAGGCATCATGAATGAATTTTCTTTTATACACTAACACCAGGGGCGTAGCTATCCTAGGGCAAACCGGGGCAGTGCCCCGGGGCCCCGGCTTATAGAGGGCCCCGGCCATGCGCCTCAAAAAAATTGTTTTTAAGCGCCGATCAGCAATAAATTCATTAAGTGCTAATATAACCTAGGTATACTAGAAAGAAAAATAAATAATAAATATAATGATAAATAATGTTTATTTTTTAAAACGCTACATATTTGAGGAAAACGCTTGCGTTCCTAAATGTATGTAGTTATAATCCGTCGTACCGCGACGGGCTTGGCACCACCGCCTTAATATTACGTTTCGTCTTTGGGGATTCCGCGATCTATTGTTTTGATGATCTTAACTACCCAGCGTGCCCTATGTGATATTGATATGTGTCGTAGTCGTGCCGTGGTGCCCGGCGTGGTGTAAAATAACATTACTATATTTGTATTGTGACGATTGTGTCTCGTTATAATAAGGTACCTATTAGAAAAAAAGGTAAGTGTCAGTTATATTACTTAATGAATAAATGGCTCGATTTTGATTTGTGCGTAATTTTGTTTGTAAATGTACATTTGTCCATTACCTTGCTGAGTAAAGGCGCCGCAGAATTTCCGTAACGTAAGACTTAAGAGTTAAGTTTCATTTAAGACAGATTAAGACTTAACCGCAAGGAATTATACAGAATTCTGATCAGGTGATTTATAAAGTATAGTCAAGACTTAAGCCTTAAGGCATGAGAAATTACGTTACAGCTTAAGGCTTAAGTCTGGGCTTACGGAAACTCTGCGGCCACCTTAAATCCGACACTAATTTCGAAAAGCTTCTTAAAGACTAAAAATGATCTATTGACTGTTTCAAAAATATCGACTAATTTTTTCTCTCTTAAGTATATAGTATATCGAACAAATTGTTAGAAATGACGAAAAAAAATCCTGTAAAAGCTCTTTAACAATTCTTCATTAACATGGGGAACAAATTGTTTTCAACTTTTGAATTTTTTTCTCATTACTAAATTATCATACGGATGAGTTCATAGTTTATTCTTGTAGGGAATTGAATGCTTTACAAAAAAGGTCTCTTACAATTTTCCGATAAACCTACTCGTTCAGAAGTTTTTCGAGGGAAATTGAAATTTTCGATGCGGCACCACTTAATATTAATATCAAGAGCTGTTACTTTTACAGGATTTTTTTTCGTCATTTCTAACAATATTTTCGACGTACTTGAGAGAGA